TAAGGCTTCCTTACTCATCCCCGGGGCGAGCCAGGCGGGTGCTGGTCTGAAATGAAGTGGCTCCATTTACGCTTTGCTGTCCTTGCTGGAGAATAGGGAAGCTTCCATTTCTCATTCAGAAAAGCGGTGTAGATGTTTATCTCTTCACAGCCACCAATAGTGATTATATTCAAAACCACTTCAACTCTCAGTCCTTCATAATATGGACTGGAATGGACTGGTTAAATATTCTCTTTTAGTCTTACAGGTATTTCTCACTGATGAAAATGAGATCATTATGCCTAAGAAGGCAGAGCCAAATAATATATGGGTCTTAAAACGGTTTTCTACTGTAGTACAGGTTTATTCTCTTACTCTTCTGAAGTCTCCAATTCCTCCACCCCATCAGCACCGAGACATGATAGATAATCAAGACAGGATACAGAATTCTGGACTGTGAGCATGACCTTTAGCGGGAGCAGCTCAATGGCCCACAAATGTTTTCAACTTCCAGCTCTTGCCTTTATTCCTTCCGAGTCCCCTGTGGGCCACCGGACCTCCTGTCCTAGAGTTCCTGGGAGACCATTCTACTCAGGAAGGTCAGATGCAAGGGTCAGTTACAGCTCTTCCTGAGGCGTCCAAAGCGGGGCTGGAAGGCAGCCCGACTGTTGACCTCTTCATGGTCAGCTGAGCTTGTCAAGAAATTACTAATCATACTGACCCTCTTCGTCCTTTGTGAGGCCAATTGATGTCTCCTAGCATTGGGCTGGGAGCATAGCTCAAGTGATAGACCACCTGCTTAGCAAGCTCAGGGTCGTGAGTTCAAACCCCGGTACTACCTATATATTACTCCCACTGAGTGGACCAAGACCTCTATTGTGTCTGTCTTGTTCACATTAAGACAAGTTGTATGGTGTCATGATTGATAAGTCAATCTTAGCTGTATCTGAGTCAAGTGGGATTCTTAACATTTAAAGGAGGTTATAAAATATCAGACAAAGTGTATACTCTGGGTCTGGGTTTCCAGTGGTTGGTAAGTTAGCACCTACCAACTTGGATTTAATGGAAGCCGTCTATAATACCTAGCAGCAAATTGAAAGCTATTCTTCCAACCTGCATCTAGACCAGTCATTATTAAGAAAGATTCTGAAATAGAAAGATTCTGAAATAACTGAACATTTAATAATTACTTTCTTTCCTCTTCTAACTTTTCCTGGATATAAGGTCCTCCTTCTACCTGACAGAGCTGAGCGCACTTATAGCCTGGTCAGCTAACCCACCCCTGGCCTCCAGCCCGCCGGTCAGCTAACCCACCCCCGGCCTCCAGCCCCCGGCCTCCAGCCCCCGGCCTCCAGCCCCCGGCCTCCAGCCCGCCGGTCTGCTAACCCACCCCCAGCATCCAGCCCCCGGCCTCCAGCCCCCGGCCTCCAGCCCCCGGCCTCCAGCCCGCCGGTCAGCTAACCCACCCCTGGCCTCCAGCCCCCGGCATCCAGCCCGCCGGTCTGCTAACCCACCCCCGGCCTCCAGCCCGCCGGTCAGCTAACCCACCCCTGGCCTCCAGCCCCCGGCATCCAGCCCGCCGGTCAGCTAACCCACCCCCGGCCTCCAGCCCGCCGGTCTGCTAACCCACCCCCAGCATCCAGCCCCCAGCATCCAGCCCCCGGCCTCCAGCCCGCCAGTTAGCTAACCCACCCCCGGCCTCCAGCCCCCGGCATCCAGCCCCCGGCCTCCAGCCCGCTGGTCAGCTAACTGACCCCCGGTCTCCAGCCCGCCAGTCTGCTAACCGACCCCCGGCCTCCAGCCTGCCAGTCTGCTAACCGACCCCCGGCCTCCACCCGCCCTGGCAGGACCAGGACCAGAGGTTGCCAACTTCTCTGAGTTCTCTTCGCCTCACAGGTGCTGGTTTTTGGCTATTCAGGATTTGACTCCAAGGAATCTTCTCTAAACTTCCTTGTTGAGAAATCAAATACAAGACAGCTTCTTCTTGTTCCTTGGGGACATTTTTCCTATGAAAGACAAACATGCCTGTGTTGATTTTCATGCAATTTGAATTGTCTATATCGGGTTGAGACCTAAGCCTCCTTTTCACCACTGACTTCTCTGAAGATTACAGATTAAACGCAAATAGGCCCTAACGTAACTCAAGAAAATACTATTCCCCATGCCCCTCACTTCCTGGCAAGGTGGGAAGTGATAGACCAACTAAAGTGGCCTAATTCTTCTCAGGAAGAAAATACTTAGCAATCTCAAAGCATGACAGTTTGCCATCATCAACTTCCTTATAGGTAGACACTTCCATCAATTTTCTGGGGATTAACATAAAATACGTGTTTTCGAGTCAGAGTTGTGCCTAAGTGTATGTGCAGTCATGATCTTTGCTGGAGATTGAACCTTTTTGGTGTTCTAATCAAATGCCTCCAAGTTTACCATTGAGTCTCTCTTGGTTTTTCTAAATAAAAATTATAATTATCTTACATTTAGGTTCCAGTGTTATGAGGCAATGGTCAAACACAGTTGCTTGGATAGCTCACTGGTGGTCTGTGGAGAGTAGATCTCCACAAAGACTGCAACCGTGTGCTCATTTCCTCAACGGCTACTGAGGACGTGGCCTACACCGGGAAAAGTGTGACGGACACGCACATCAAGGTATTTTTCTACCTTCAGTGTTGGGGATTGCTCTAGGCTACTGGAGAAGTTTATGGTTTCCAAGTATGTACTCTAAATAGATCCAACAACCTGAATTTAATAAAAACAAGTTCATCTAAAATTTAAGACAGTGACTGAGATGTAGAATGAATACAGGTAGGTGCAGGCATTTCCCAGGAAGATGGCATCCTGAGGAGTTCAGTTGGCAGTGTGGGAATCTTAATGACTTATTCCTATATTGAAATCTATCTATCTAGATACGTGGATTGATACATGGATCTATTGGAGAGTAATACTAAACCTCTGTGAGAGAGGCAATTTAAGTGACCGGATGTGGCCTCGGGCCGTCATGAGCATCCGCAGGCAGGAACAGGACCTCTCTGCTCTGGAGTACCTTACAGCACATTTTTCTGCTTCTGCCAGAACATTAAACATTTATCAACTGTCTATCTCATGAAGGGCAATGGGCTTCAAAGATGAAACAGGCGTAGTTCCTGTTTATGAGGAAAATTTCAGAAGATGGACGACTACCCTCTTAGGAGATGTTTCAGAAAGAAAGAGTTCACAACACAGATGGGGGGGGGGAGAAAGAGCTCTTTGCTCATCCATTACGTCAGGATAAAAATTAATCCAGGAGCCTGAAAGACATGTTTGAACAAAGGATGAATAATGATTGGAGTCCCGGGCAAGACGCATGGGGCCAGGTTTCCTAAAGATAAACAACAGACCACCCAGCATCGCGGGGAACCTTGCCTGCTTTGGAGACATTTTGGATTTCATACTCTGAATCCATGGGGTTGAGAAAGTTAAAAAAAAAAATCTAGGTTACCCTGAGATTTTTAAGAGAAATAAAAATTTAAAGAGACCTCTGGGGAAAGGGAGATGGATGGGCAGTGACAGAGCAACTTGTAATGGAAGAGCCAGGGACCATGGGAAGACAGAATAAAATAAATATAAAATAAGCTGTGTACTCTCTGCCGCAATGTCTACTAATCACGGTGGTGATGCTACACAGAAGACTGTAAAATGTAGCTGTAGCTCAGTTGTGATCAGTGCATTACCAAACTTGAGTCTTCTTTCTAGCATCTTCTATGGCTCAAGTCTAAGCCTGATAATAGTGACTATTTGGGGTAATCATGATCGAGATGCATTGCATAATCCAGATGAACTCAGGAAGTAGTAAAGAAATAGATATTCATACCAGCTGTGGGAAAGGGGTTCATTGTGCAAACTGCAGTTTATCTCTGTGAGTCTTTGGTTTCAGTTAGTCTTTGTGCAATGTCTAAATAAAATGGGTAAAACTTCTGGAAAACAAGGTGCATTGTACTCAAACTGATATGTTTGAGGAACAGAACCTGTGAACCTAGAATCTGCTGCTTTCAAGAAAATAGAGCTAGACAAGAGACAGAGAGAAATGGAGAATGCAGAAGAGAATCATGTAAGTCAAGGAATGAGAGAGATGGTGAGTTATTAGGACAAACGGTGAAGACAGGGTTGGCACACTGAGAAGGGCTGGGTTTCGTGGTTACAAATGGTGATCTGGGAAGAATGGGACGAGGAAAGGCTTGCAGAATGCTAAGCATAAATGCGGACAGTCAGGACATGGAGACGGGGTTATAATAGTGATAGCTAATACTTATCGGGGACAGGATGTGTTTCAACACTTCCTATGCATTATCTCCTTAAAGGTAGCCTGTGAAGTAGGGATATTATTTCATTTGACAGTTGAGCAAATTGCAACACAGACTGGAGAGTAATTTATGTAAGCTGATTTACTACATTACATTACTAGCTTACAACTCAGGTCTGTTCAACTTTTAACTACTGGGCTATTTGCCTCTAAATCTTGTAAAAGAGGTTTGAGGGAGAGGAAAGAAATGGATTTCGTTTTTATTTTAGAGGAAGTATGAGGCTAGAAGGACTTTTTTCCCCTAATAAGACAGGGCAGATAGACTATAGGTGAGCAGATGGGGAAGACAGTTGTGGAAAATGGAAGTTAAGGTTAAAGACACACACACACACACACACGCACACACACACACGCACACACACACACATGCACACACACACGCACGCGCGCGCGTGCACACACACACGCACGCACGCGTGCACACACACACGCACACACACGCACGCACACATGCGCGTGCACACACACACGCGCGCACACGCACACACACGCGCACACACGCACACACACGCACACACACGCACACACACACATGCACACACACACGCACGCACGCACGTGCGCTAGGCAATGAAAACTTGCAATTCATGGGTTAAAATTTCCTAAGAAACAAAGGGCTCTGTTTACAAATATAGTGAGGGTAAGTTAACTTGCAACATTAAAAAAAGAAAAAACAATGGGCACTGGTTTAATGATTAGGATATAATTTTGTTTGAAATAGTCTTAAAGCAGACTTCACACAGGAAGCAGTTAACAAATATTAAGTTATTCTTCTCATGAGTTACATGCCCTGTCAAGTAGAGTTAACAACAGCATCACTTGTCATTTCTAATTATTTTATAGAAAATGATTAAGCAATACAACAATATTTGTCTCTGTTCTGTAAAATATTTATACTGCTCCTTTCATGGGAGGAATTAGTCATCTCTGAATGGTTAGGTCACATACCCTGGAATCTTTCCATTTCAAGGATCAGAAACACAGCCAGGCCTAGGAAGGACTGGTAATGGTAGAAACCAGTAATACAGATCTACCGTGGAAGTGTGATGGATTCTTTTGCAGAGAACGTGAAACACAGAGAAATTTTACTGACATCTACGACTCACAACTAGTAATAGAAAGAGACCCTTTCATTCATTTCAGGCTGAAATGTTCTGGCTATGGTGTTAAATAGTGAACTTGTTTGAATTTGTAATGATTTCTGTTTCCTCATTTCCTTTTTGGTAAACAAATATAAGTATGTGATTAGTTTATATTTCTGGGTATATCCTTAAGAGATCCTCTGGATATTTCTGGACATATATTTTAAGATTACACTTGCCTCTTCCTTAATAAAATAGTAGGAAAGCATTCCTAACAGGTTTATTTAGGCCAGTAAGACTCCGCTTGCTCGGGACTCGCCTTCCTGTGGAGTATTCCGGAAGAGCTCGGCGGGAGTCCCACAGGCAGCAGCTCCAGGAAGGCCGAGGAGAAGGAAACCACAGTTCCACCTGGCCCGCTAACACAACGCTTTGCGTTATCATTTCCTCTTCCACCGTCGGTGTAAAGGAAGGCTTTGCTTCCTCTCTAGCCCGGGGGAGAATGGTGACATTTAGACTCTCCAAAAATATAGCCATCATATGTTCAACTTGCATCTCTTAGTTCATGTGAGTTAAAGGGATTGGCATACTTCCCACAACTGAAGCCCCAGTCGTGTGGTGTGTAGCAAGCAGTCACAGACCGCTGAGGGGCAGACTGTGCAGTCACAGACCGCTGAGGGGCAGACTGTAAGAGTTACCAGCATAGGGAAGGTGTCTTGGAACCAAGGAAACATGGAATGGAAGAAATCTAGACTTAAAGAATAATACTAATGTCTAATTCATTACATGTGCAGAGCTTAGCCTGAGATGTTGAAAATACTCATTTATGAGGGAAAAAGAGCTTTCTCTTCACCTCCACCAATAGGTACCAGACACCAGACACAGTTCTAGAGCAGGAGAACTGCTTCGGGACTATAACTAGTCCTAGTAGATAGTTTTCAAGTGTTTTTGTTGTGGTTTTCCTCCCCACTAATTCTCATCTCAGCTCCAGAGAAGACGTACCATTCTCATTTTGTGGGCCTGAGGCCAGCAGGGAGCCAATGTCTGACAGTCTAGTCCACACCTTTCTTTCTCTGATCCTCCTGTTTTCTCTCCCTCCCCCTATCTCTTCCCCCTACCCCCCATCTCCCCTCCACCCCCACACACATACTCCTCCTCCTCCTTTCTCTCTCTCTCTTTCCTCCTCCCTCCCTGCCTCTCTCTCTCCTTTCTTATTCCTCAGTCCTGGGGCTTGAACTTAGGGTCTGGGTGGTGCCCTTAGTTTTTTTTTCTTTTCTCAAAGCTATCGCTCTACCACTTGTACCACCACTTCCAGCTTTTAGGTGATTGATTGGAGATCAGACTTTCTGAGTAGCTAGGATTACAGGCTTGAGCCATCAACGCCCAGCTTGATCAGGACTCCTGTCTTGATTTCATCAATGAGTAGCGCAACATTTTGATAGTAAATGGTAATGAATTGGGTTGAGAGTGGGAAGGAAAATATTCCTTCCTTGTTAATTTTATGAACAGAAAAAGAAAAAAACAACAACACATGCTGTGCCTAGAAATAGAATAATCAAGAATTTGAATAGTTAGGAGGCATATGTAAAAACCTTCTGCTTGTTCTGCTGTGTGTGTGTGTGTGTGTGTGTGTGTGTGTGTGTGTAAACAAGCTCACTGGTTCAGAGAAGTGTGAAATGTGAAACACAGCAGCTCTGAGCTGCAAGATTCTGAGTGTTCAGTGTAGCTCCCTGCCCCTGGAATTGTATTTACTCATCACCAGTGCCTCGTGGCCCGCATTTGAAGGCAGATGTGTTGTCACACAGTGATATCAAAGGGTCATGTTGCCATGTGGGGTCTGAAGATATGTGTTCCTTCTGCACAGCTGTCCTAATCAATGTTATCTGCTAGTGTCACAGGCAGTATCTTTTGGCACATATTAAGGTTCTTCAAGGGAAACATAGACTAGAAACTTCCTGCTATGTTTAACCTAAAATTAAAATAGAAATAGCAAGTGAATTATTAAAGAGCAAAAATCCATTGCCCCTAAACACATGGCTCTAAGAATAAAACTAATTTCTCTTTATGTATTCCCTTCCTGTCTTTAGAGCACATCAGCGAGATCTCTGAGCACAACTGCTTATCGATAATAATAATAATGATGATGATGATGATGACTGTGGTCCATCATGATTCCTTTACCTCTCCTTTTATGCTCGCTCTGATCATGTGGTTAAACAAACCAAGAACAGAGCAACTGTGCTAAGGAAGAATCGTTTCGTCTAGCCCTGACCCTCCCCAGTCATCTCTGGTGCAAACAGAATAAGCCAGGGTCTGCTTCCTAATTATGCATTCTCAGCTTCTTAAGCAACTGCAACAGCAAGGTGTGGGACCAGGCTTTCTTTCTGCTGATGTTTTACTTGTATCAGCTATTGCTCCTGTCACATTCTGCTTCTAGCTTTTACATTTTAGATGATTTCCTCTATTCTTTACAACAAGAAAAAAAGCCATAAAACCTATCCACCCACTGCTGCCTGTAAAAATCAATAAAACGGAACAAAGCATCTGTAGCTCTTCCGTTGGTCATGAAGCCTCCTTGTCCCCTGGGTCAATTTTTCATAGATTGCTTTTCTTAGAATATGCAAGAAGACAGAAAGATGGCTTCGTGTTTCCCTGATGAACAACCCTAGCCTTTGCCACATTCCGTAAGCACTTCCTTTCCTCTATTTCTCATCTCTCTCCATCTCTTCTCTGTTTGTCCCCCCCCCCCTCCCCGCCATGGCTTATTTGCGTTCTCCTACTTCCGTATCTCCCACATCTTTTCATCTGGTTTCTAGTATTTCACATCTAGCTTCTCACAGGTTTCTCATGTTGTCAGAATATTCATATTAAAGGAATAATGTCTAAGGCCTCTGAGGAGCTTGGAGTGGGGTTTCTTTGGGTTTTCGGTTCTCTGATGACTAATTTCTTCTGCAAGGAAAACTGCTCATCTGTCAAGCAAATTAGCTCTTCTCTAGCACAGTAATCATCTGTCACCTTCAGGAGGTGAGAGATTCATTAGATGTATTTTGCAAGATTAAACTGAGAATCCAGATTGGCTTCTTGCTGGGGCATAAAGGAGTCACTCCAGGCCAAGGAGGAGGGTGGTAATGCTGGGGTAGAGTGGGAGTGGGGAGGGAGGGGGACATTGGAAAAGGGTTCTCAAGGACTTCAGGAAATGTGCCCCAGATTAATTTTTAAGCTTTGTGTACTACATCCCTCTAAAATCTGTGTAGCCATTTCTCCAGATAAATTGATTCCTTCCTTTCCCCACAGTAGATAAGGCTATCCTCTGTTTCAGATGACATACTTTTCTACTCTGCCAATTCAGTATCTGCACGTATGCTACGGCTGCCAAGGGAACACGCACCTACCTGTCGAGGCTCAGGCCCACGCCGCCTCTTCCCTGATCTCCTTTAGCAGCTCCTGTGCTTCATCCTTCCTTTGTCCTCTGAACACTGGCGGCACTTACCCTGCGTCAAGCAACCGTTCAACCCTCATCATGAAAACACTGGGCGCGGAACTGTGACCGATGGTCTTGGTAACGTTTAGCGAGCTCTGAAAAGGCTGGGTGTGTCCTGGTGAAGTTGAAGCCAGATGGTCGGCATGGCTAAGAGCATCTGGAAGAGGTAAGACATGGAGAAAACAGCAGAGATAGTGATAGAAGTGAACGTCCCCTTCCCATACTGCTTGTGCACGTTAGAAAAGGCCATTTTCCTCAGATTCCCTCCCAGGCTGATCATGTCTCTGAGTTTTATAAGCAACTGTTAGTCTTGCTAATGCTAGAAACTCACCAAGACCACTCACAGTCCAATTTAGCATTATAAACACTTCCTTTTTTATTTAGAAAGAGAGACTGACTGACAGACAGACAGAAACTGAGACAGAGAGACAGACAGAGATTGTACATCCCAAATGCCCAAATATCCAAAGTATTGGACAGTTTTCCATTACTGTAACAAAATATCTCAGCTAATTTACTCAAGAAGTGGAAAGGTTCATTCTGACTCCTGAGTTCCCAGGTTTCTGTCCAGTCGGTAGCCTTTGGTTTGGGGCCGGTGGCAGGCAGCCCATCCTGATGAGTGCGTTGGGAGCCCACTGAGCATCTCATGGTGACTTGGAGGCAGAGAGGAGAAAGAGGAGGGTCCAGGGTTCCAAAGCCCCTTCACTGACCAGAGAGTCTCTGATTGGCCCCATCTCTGAACGGATTTTACCGTTTTCCAACACTAAGGACCCAGCCTCTAATTCATGGGTCTTAGAAGGATTTTTGATCCACACAATAGCCACCCGCTAGATTGCATTTAACTTCACGAGTGCTGCTACTTTTGGTTCAGTGTATAACTGAGTAGTAGCTTACACTCTTCCACTTTTCCCTCTCTAGCCTTTTCCTGAAAGGAGAACATTTCCTAAACTACTTCAATGACTGAGTCTAACTTCATACTGCAGTCTGTAATATACCAAAGCCTTCAAAAAGCAAACAGAACCCCTAGTATATTAATTTATTTATTAGGCTTTACTTTCTTATGATGTTCATGCACATGTTTATAGTCTCGTAATAGATTCTATTAATAAACTGTGACTACGAGAAAGACATTTGGAATTTCTAATTTTGCTTCTTAATAAAGTCATATCTGTCATCATAGAAAAAAATGTAGGCTTTGCGATATCCATTCCAGACAAAAGCCTTAAAAAGTACTGATATAATCCTTGTCATTCACATGTCAAACTTAGGACAATTGATAACTTGGGAATTTGAGATGAAAGAACTCTGAGATAAACATCTCTCCCCTCTCTTCCCCCTCGCTCACCTTTCTCCTCCTCCTTCCCTTCCTTCTTTCCACATTTAACTATCAATTAATAATTATCATCTGCTATATATGTATTTGATGCTGTAGGCCCAATAGTCCATGCATGTTCAGACCCAGGGCTATTTTAGGCTGTATAGAAAGGCTCCTTGATTCATTGCTACCAAGTATCTGTTGTAAATTACTTTCCACTAGAGAAAGGTCCCACTTTTATTTTGCAATGGCTCCATTTATAGCTTGGAGTGCACCATTTATTTTATTAATGTTCTGAGCAGTACCAGAACACTGCTGAGAGTTTCTGTGTAGGTTATATATTATAAATACAGATACAAAACCATTACTTTAGGCATGGAAGGACAAAACAGAGTCAACAGAGGGACCCTGGAAAAAAGCCGAGAAAGAAGAAAAGTGAATACATAAAGGAGAGAGGATTGGAGGAAAGAGATCTGTTTTTTTCCATTTACTTTGCTATGTGAAAGTCTTTCATGAAGTCAGATCTTCACAGACTGAAGAAAGAATGCTGTCCAAGCAACAGCACAGTGAAAGAGCTGGGTAATACAATTATCATTAGCTTCTTGTCAAAAATATACAGCCTGATTTATCTCATCTCAAAAAATGTGTATTTAATACATAGTATGCACCTGTTTGGGTCTGCGAACACATGTATGAAATAGAAAATGAGACTCTGGCCTCAGAATTTACTTGGTAGAGGAAAAAGTCGTGGAAGAATAACTAGGAGTTATCGTTGTTATGATAGAAATACAGCACAATGATGACAGAAGTATATGGCATGTATCCCATGATACGTAATTATGTCAGGTGTTATAGTTCCCAGAATGATATACATGATATATTTTGCTGTAAAATAGAAATGCAAATTGTCAAACAGAACTTGAGCATTAAATGAAATTATAATAAACATAATGTTGAAGAAGTTTCTATGCAGCCACGTTTTTAAAAGATGGTACCATGAAAATGTTTTCCCTCTTGTAAAAATAATGGCTCAGAACTCTCTATGCATGCATGACATTATGACACTGAATTCCATTAATAAGTACGATTAAAAAACATTAATAAATATGTGAATAGTGCTTCAAAATAGTAGCTCAAGACTCTGGGAAAGAATGGTTTAGAATAGTTTCCAACCTATTCCAACCATGAAAGCCACCATTAAGCACAGACCTCAGAGCTCTTCTGGAGATGTTGGTTCTATGGTAATAGGGTAGTCCTATGAAACTCTACTTTTTCAGGAGATTCTATTTTACGGAAGATTTGGTGACGGACTTCTTAGGAGAGACTGCAATTGACCAAGGAGTGAGATTGAAAAGAACTGCATTTACAAGTGAGAAAATAATAGGCAAACAGTTAATTAGATGTTTTATGTCCTTCAGACTGAATCTACATGAACAATATTGAAGATAAGTTAAATAAAGTAAGTCAAAAATATTCTACCACTTATTTCCCTCAAATACATCTGAAAAGTGCATGTAGTTACTTACAATTATATAGGAATATATATGGAAATCAAAATTTCAACCTACAAGTAGGTCCTAGGAAAATTTAAACCACTTTTATTTTTTTTTGGGGTCCGGTCGTGGGGCCCGAACTCTGGGCCTGGACGCTGTCCCTCAGCTCTTCAGCTCAAGGCTAGCGCTCTACCACTTGAGCCACAGCGCCACTTCCGGCTTTTTTCTTTTT